ATAATATATTGCATAAACATCTAGCAATTTAATAAACAAAAATCTAATAACCCATGCTGGCAAAAATAAAGTCATTGTTGTAAAATATGGGACCAAGAACATTGGCATAAATAACAAAAAATTAAGAAATTTGAAGATATTAAATGTTAAGAGCAGCCACCCTGAAGAACCTGTTTTGACATATCTTTGGCATTAGTTCGAGAGTAATCTCAATTAATTAAAAATCTCAACCATTTTTCTTAAATTTATGAGCTATAAATTTACAACTCACCATCACAACCCCAGTTTCATTATTTGCTAACATTACAGAAACTAAACAAGTAGTTGGATGGATTGCTGCAACAACATCATCTACTTCCACTCGCCCGGTCACCTTTGATACTTGCACAAAAGTGGCTTCTACAAACCAGGATAAAAAGAAGAAAGTCATGCCACAGTTCAATTTGTTGAAAAGCAGTTGCTATTTTTCTTACAATAGGTTTGAAGGATGCTCCAATGGATATCAGGTAAGTTCCAGCCAAAATGCTCAGAAAACAGAGACTGCAAAATGTAGCAGTCATGAGGAAACCTAAAAAGTTACAGGTTTAAAGGCAGAATTTAAGGAAAAAATGGAACTCTGCAGGAACGCAGCAGCAGCTTGAAAGCAGGGTACAATTTAGGTCCTTTATTTTATAAAAGATTTTGAGTTAAGAAAACACTTATAATCAATTTTGTCAGGTGCAAGAAACCAGGAACCAAAATTGTTCAAATGAGTAGAAGTTTATTCCATGTTAGGTCTTTCAAGAATCTGAATACTAATGGTCAAGGCAAATTGGCGGTAGATAAGAGTCAATGGAATTCAAGGAGGGCTGGACTTAGATCTCTTATGGGCACGAAGGGACTCCAAACTGATGATGCCCTTGACACCACCACCACCACCCGACTCAGCCTGGTCATCTCCTACAAATTCATCTCCATATAATTAAATAAAAAAGGAGGGATAAAATTCTAATAATAATTTAATCTCATAATAATGATAACACCTTATCATCTTTTTTAAGGTAGCCAAGTCAAGAAACAGACCCCATAAAAATTACAGGAACTGTATCGTTATAGGATATAATAACAGAATCTTGAAAGCCTGACAGGAGTTCTCCTCTGACCTCTCTTATACCAAAGAGAATCAAAGCAGGTAATCTTTTTTTTTTTTTATAAACAAACTTTATTGATTCCCCCCCCCCCCGAAATAAACAAACATACAATTATGGCATAAGTCAATAATACAATTAATAAAAAAAACAAACTAAAAAAACCTCCCATTCTAAGATGCTCAGTAGCCTCACAGGAACACATTCCCTCTCTTCAACCTACTTCCCTCCTTCCTTCTACCTCCTTCC